TCACACTGAGCCTTTGCCGCTCTCGGAAATAACAGAGCGGGTGGCTCTGTGCAGGCCCAGACAACTCTAGGAATGGAGAAGAAAAAAACCCAAACATTTTCAAAATACTTTTGATAGCTGATGTGTCCTTAGTTTGTACCTAGAGGAGGTTGTGGTGATACAGTTCGGGAGATCAATGGTGCTCGTTGGTGCTGAGGATCTTAACACTTGGAAAGAAGTGAGGAGTCCTTGTGGTTTGCCTTAATAGGGCAATTAATCATAGCTCATTTCATCCCACTCCCCTGCCATGGGAAGGGACACCTTCCACTAGACCTGGTTGCTCCAAGTTTCATCCAACCTGGCCTTGAACATTTCCAAAGATGGGACATCCACAGCTTCTCTGGGCAGCCTGTGCTGGGTCCTCACCACCCTCACAGGGAAGAACTTCTCCTAATATCTAATATAAACCTACTCTCTTTTAGTTTGAAGCCATTTTCCCCTTGTTCTGTCACTCCATGCTCTTATAATGGTCTCTCTCTGTCTTTCCTTCAGGTTCCCTGCAGGTACTGGAAGACCGCAATTATGACACCCCAAAGCCTTCTCTTCTCCGGGCTGAACAATCCCAATCGTCTCAGCCTTTCCTCGTAGGGAGGGCACTCCATCTCTTCATCTATTATATTCCAGGTGAGAGTTTCAGGCACTCCTTAAGAACAGAAATAATCAGAGAAGAAAGATAGATTATAGAGAGAAAAAATACTTTTGTTCATGGGTCCTATGCTTACTAATTTATCTGAGGCTGATGGCTTTTTGTAACTGTGACTGTGTTTATTTTGCCTACAGGGATATTTTCCCTGACACTATCAAGTATCTCCTACATCATCACCCACACCTTCATGTTCACCAGTCTCTCTGTCACTTTACCCACCTATCTCATTCTCCCAGTCCCCACTTCCCCACTTTGAATCTCCGTCCTTCACCTGTGAAAGAAATGTGGGCATCCATGAAAACAGTTGATGAGACACATACAGAGTCTCTGAAGGTAGAAAAAGGGAATACACACAGATCAGTCTTGATTAACAAAAAATGCAAGGAGGTACCATAACAAATAGCTACAGGAACAAGAGTTCTACTGGGTTATCTAGGAGCACCTACCTTCAACCATTTAAAAGTAAGATAATAATTTGTATAGCCATATTCCCACTTAAGGAAGTTGAAGTGATGAAAAATCCTAACTTTTCTGTCTTAACTGTTTCTGTACGTAGCACTCTGGAAAAAGAATGATTTCCCAGGAGAAAATGAAGAGACACGTAAGAGACAAATGTGTACGTTGCAATTGTTATTGTAGAAAAATATTATAAAATAAAAATCGGTAAGCACAAACTTTGATGTTTTGGTCATTCAGAATCAAATTGCCAGGGTCAGTCGCAAACTTGAATAGAGCCAAGAACTAGAATCACATATCTTATAATGAATTTTATGCCAGATGCTCACATGCTCATTGTGCATCAAAGCCTCAGTATGTGCTTCAGCGAAAAAGGAAGGTTAGGGAGGACACTGGGGAAAGACTGTGTGATTTAAGCCCTGAAGAGGGTCGCCAAGTCTTTTCTCTGCTAAGGAGAGAAAAGTCTGCCGGAACAGGCTCGGCTGGAACGTGACCGCGGCGGGACTCGAACCGAGGTCCCCCGTCAGCCCAGGCCCCGCCCCCGGGGGCGGTGCGCGCGTCCTAGCGACCGTTGCGCCGTTTCAAACACACGCACGCACGGCCCGGCGGCCAATAGCGCGCCGCGCCGCCCGCGGGGGCCGCCGGGAGCCCGCTCGCGCGGGCGCGGAGGCACGCGCGTGCGCCGCGCGAGGCCGGCGGGCCCCTGCTGCTCCGCTCTTGCCCGCGCACGCGCCAGTGCGCGCGGTGGGCTGCGGAGGCGAATAGTAACCGAGGGAGGCACCGGGAAGCGCCTCCAGAGCCGTCCGGGCCGCGCAGTCCACCGGGCGCCGTGCTGCTGCTGCAGGAGCAATCGGCCTCGCCCCGGGTCGACCGGGATGCGGCGCTGCTGCGGCCGCCCCCGCCGGGCCCGGCGCGCCCCGGCCTGGAGCCCGCGGCGCCGCCCGCGGGGCCTAGTAGGGCGGGGCAGCGGCGGCCTGAGGAGCACGCGGCAGGCCCGCCGCGGTGAATGGCGCGGGCGGGGCGGGAGGAGCCGGAGCCGCCGCCGCCGATGGCTCAGGAGAAGATGGAGCTGGACCTGGAACTGCCGCCCGGGAGCGCCGCGGGCCCGGGCGACGGCGGCGGCCTGAGGAGGTCGAACAGCGCCCCGCTGATCCATGGGCTCAGGTGAGGGGCCCGGGGGGCTCCGGGGAGGAGAGGTCTCCGGACGGGCTGAGCGAGCCCCAGGCCTCGCTGTGGGCCTTCGGCAGGCCTGGCGCTCCCCGAGCGGCCTCCGGGACGTGCCCCCTGTTCCTCGGACCCAGTGTGACCTCCTGTCCCCCCCCGGCTCGGTGAAGATGCTCCCCCGGTAGCAGCGGTGCTCTTCTTCAAAGAAAAGCTTGTTTTCAGGCCGCAGCGCGTGTCACGGCGCAGCGGAGCTCTAAGCAAAGCGCACCTCGAGAGAGTTTTGTTCACCAAACTTTTGTTTTTTCCCCCCTGCAGTGACAACTCGCAGGTGTTCCAGCCTTACGTGTTGCGGACTCGCAGGAACAGCACAACAGTTATGAGCCGTCATGGAATGGTGAGGAATCTTAAGCATGTCATGCTTGCACACAGCAGGGAGTAATCGGAGTAGAGAAATGAAGTTGAACTTGATCATTTGCACTGTGCATCCCAACGAGCTTCCAGGCTGCAGAATAAGCATTTTTTCACCTGTAACTGCAACTACAATGAAGTAATACTGGTGTGTTAACTGTGTCCACCCAGGAAGACAAGAATAGCTGAAGCTACATGTGATTCCCAGTATTAAGTACAGTCTTTAGGTTAGTTTAGACCTGACTGTGGGTTAGAAAAGTGTTTTCACAGTTAAAGTCTTGAAAGGGTGTTTTAATTTGTTGTGAAAATGGAAGAAAGAGTCACAGTTTTTTGCTGATCTACTTGTTTGACATGGTGCTCTTTTTTTTTTTTTTTTTTTTTTTTTTGCAAAGGCTGAACACTAGATCTCAGAAAACCATTTAAAGAAGAGTAATTTATTTGTTGCTCTCTGTTGTAAGTCTGGTAGTGTACAGAGCTGCAGTTGTTTAACGTTTCAAAGATGTTGCTTTTTTTTCACCTTTTCCTTCTCAACTGAGTGATCTGTATGTGCCTTTCACTGAAATTTTTCTGTCTCATTTAAGGGTAATGAAGATTAAGTATTGCTTTTCTCAAAACCTGTAGAACTTAAAGTCCCTAAATAAGTTTTTTCTATGCCTTCTGTTCAGAAAAGGCGAGATGGGATTCAAAATCTTCTGCTGTGAGATTTCTTTAAAATAAGAATCCAGAATTTTGGAGCTCAGACTGGTAGATGTGGCAATGGACACATGGATGTCCAGAGTGGGAACCGTTGGCCCATTTGTATGTGATGGAGTCAGAGTTCCAGAGAAATTAGATGCATAAAATGGCAGAAGCAAAGCTTTAGGGAGTGTTGTTCAAGACTGAGCTGAAACACTGAGGTTTCTCTTTTATAACAGAGAGCTGGGTGAGAAAGGTTCTACAGGGGTTTGTCATCTTACTCTGGGCAGTGAGGAATTGTGTAAAGATCATAGTTTCATTTGTAGTATCTCACTTGGTTGAGTGGCATCTGTAGCTATTTGTGTACTTGGGATGTTGAGCAGTATCTGCCTGCAAGTCAGTTCTGTGCTGCTTGTTGAGTGATACAAGGAATTTGTAAGTGGTAAAACAAGTCTTTTCTCTTGAAGGTCAGTGTTTGCTTTTTGCAACATTGTTTGAGTCATCCACAGGTAGTTGTACAGCTCATTTTTAACTCACTAAGACTGTAGTTAATGGTAAATACTATATATGCAAGCAGTTGAAGTGTGATTTAATCATTGTGGCTATCACTTTTTCTTTTTCCAGTTCTTGTCATCATCTCCTATTCGTATTCCTAGCAGCCGACTTCATCAGATCAGAAGGGTAAGTTTTTATCTGTGTGTTTAGTAACAGAATGAAAAGTACTATATAATATCGAACTACTTATATAGTGGGAGTTTCTTTCCTATCGAGTTTGTCAAGTACTAAAGAAAACTGTGTATTTTTCAAGACTTCATTTCAACAAGGGAAGTGTCCTTGCAAGGCTTATTGTTACGTTTAAGCTGCCTTGCATTTTTGAAGTGTTTCATTTAAGAGAAGCAGTGAGCTGGACTGGTGGCAGTCTTGTCTTTTTATAGTGGTTCTACTGTTCATATTTCAATTGTGATGGCAAATCACTGAATCACAAGTGTTATTTCAAGTGCCTGTGATGAATCAAATGTTATGGGGAAACTTAGGACATTTATTTCCTGCAGGAGGAAGGAGTGGATTTAATGAACAGAGAAGCAGCACATGAAAGGTGAGTGTTATTGAAAGAACGTGATAAAATAGCCAGAGTTATCCTTTTTGTAGCTACTGATGGGGTTTTTTGTATTCTAGGGAAGTGCAAACAGCAATGCAGATAAGCCAGTCATGGGAGGAAAGCTTGAGCCTGGTAATCTCTTTATAGATGTTTCCTATTTAATTCTACTTTCACACTTAACTGATGAATTTAAGGGAAAGAGAGGAATTAACTATGAAAATAATTTAAGAAGAATTTAAGCTCACCTGCTTTAGCTATTTTGTGCATTTGACCCAATGACTTTCCATTACAAGGTTGTGCCTTGGATTTCAAGGTGATATCCTGTGCTGGTGTTAAATCTGAAACCTTGTGTTCACAGAGCGACAATGACTTGGACAAGTCTGAGAAATCTTTTTCCCCAAAGAGAATAGACTTCATTCCAGTTTCACCTGCACCTTCACCTACAAGAGGAATAGGGAAGGTAGGACGAGTGAAATAACCAAACCGAAACAATATTTCAGAACTCCAGGCCAAGCTGAACTGTGAAGATGTGTAACTTCACAAATTGTTTCATAGTTTAAAAAAACCCAAACAAACAACACAACCAAGTAAGCACCAAAAACCCCAAACCCACATTTTATTGGTTTCTAAGAATCAGATGGTGACCCATCTTGGACCTTGCAGAATTTAGTCAGGAAAACAGTGGGTGTTTTCAGTTACTACTGTTTGTGCAGTGTTTGGATGTGTTGGAGTTCTAGGGGAGCTGGAAGGGGTCATGAAAGTAATCATGGACATGATCTTCAGCTGCAGAAGTGGGGGGATGTTGGGGAAGAAGTACCAAAATTGGAATGTGTCATCATGTACAGTAAGAGTAGGTGAAGACTGCAGATCTGTGTGGTGGTAGGGATGAAAATGTGTCCCTCAGTTATGGAAAGGAAGGCACAAACACACTGTGAAGGAGGACTGGGGTGTGCTGAACTTGCACCAAAAACTGATGGCAGATGCTGGAGAAAGAGGTAGCACAGAGAAACTGATATTTATTTTTGAAGATGACCTTATTTTCACTCCCTTTTGTGGTTCTGCTTTTGTACTGCAGTATTTTCCTGCAGGCCCCTACCTGCAGTGTTGCTGCACGGAGCAGCCACATACTCGTGGTGGGTAAATGTGTTCCTGGGATAATGCTGGTGCTGGCAGCTGGTCCTGTGCCTTTGGAATCAGTTGTAAAGCAGTAGTAGATAACTTGACAGAAGGATTTTTGTGTTGAGCTGCGAGCAGTCATAGGCTAAGCTCAAATTAGCTGCAGAACCACTGAGCTAAATATCCTGTTCTACTCTGGAATATTGTCAGTTTGCAGACCAGATGTACTTTGAGTAATTTCTACTTGTTTAACAAGCCCCTTGAAAGGGGGTAAGTCTTGACTACTGTACTGCTGCTTCTAAGTGTGACAAAGAAGAGAAACAACATCTATTTCAAGTTCACGTTTCTCATGGGTTTCAGTTTTAGGTTAATCCGAGCAGAATTGCACAAGCCGTTACGTTTTTGCAAGTTAAGTTTTCAATGTTTCCAAGGTTGTGTTTGATCATCTCTGCCTAGTTCAGTTGCTAGCTTTTCTTTGAGTGGGGCTTGGAGGGTGGGGTGGAACATCTGAGTGTTTTGAAGGAAATTCTCAGGTGTGTCAATGTGCCTTTTTTTCTGCAGCAATGTTTTTCACCATCATTGCAAATGTTTGTGAGCAGTAATGGGTTACCTCCAAGTCCTATTCCCAGTCCAACAAGGCGATTCTGCAAGTAAGTGACATGTGCAAGTAACAGGTGTATGTTGGGCTAGAATTGGAATTTAAGCCAAAGATTAATTAAAGCTGATGTTAAGGCATTAGAAGAGACTATAGTTTTACAAGAGCGAAAGCATTGCCATGTAAAAATGCTCTGAAAGTTACCAGTGGTAACTTTATGTAGGTGCTCTTATAGAGCTTGTGTCAGCTTTAAACTACACTTGGTAAATTGTGGGGAAGTACTTCAAATTAACTTCAATAACTTTGTCAGCAGATAGGTTTTATATAAATAATGCACACAATTTATAAATGGGATAGAAATGAGAACACGATGCACAAAGGGAAGGAGAAAATCCTGAAAAACTTACTGCAACTTTTTATGGCAGATAATCTGCTCTAAATGGGCAGCATTTATTTGTTATGTATGTATTTAGATGCCCTAAAAATTCCAAGTTGTGCAGGAATAGTTTTGAAGATTGCTTCATATGCTGTGGTTGTGTTGATTTGATGTGACTTGGAACCTTTGTCGGCCTGATTTTCAGTGTGCTCTTTCTAGCAGGAGGAGTCAAAGTCCAATCAACTGTATCAGGCCTAGTGTTCTTGGCCCTATTAAAAGGAAAGGTACGTGTATTTACCTTATCAGATGTTTTAATATGGATGTAGTTTTGCAGCTGGACATTTTTATGTTTATGCAGTAACATTTTTATGTTACTTTGTAAATATAATGCACTTGTATCCACGGTGAACTGGAATTTGCTACTTATAACTTAAAAATACAATGTAAAGTAACTAGTCTAAAACGCAGGAATGGAAAACTTTAAAAGCAGCTACTGCTTGAAAGAGGCAAAGTTTATTATGCATCAAATGAAACATTATGAATGTTTGTAAGCCCTGACATTCCTACAAGTACGACTGAACAGTGCACACCCTTCAGATCATCTTAGGAATGTTGCTTATCATGCAGGATCTTCTAAACTTAGTACTGAATGTTTGTTTTCACCCTGAAAGTTCAGAAGGTGAATGTTTGGAGTAGTGGAGTAGATCAGTGCCCTTTTCTCCTGAAGGGGTAAAACTGTTCTTTCCTGGAAGTATTCCATGTTAGGGATATTCAAATTACATCCCAGGGCAAGTCTCCACAGTAGAACTGTAAGAGTGAGATATTTACAGGTGAGCCACTAGCTATGCTTAACCTTTTAACTTGGGCATTTTTAACTGCGCCAAAAGCACGTCCTTTTATTGTACAAGACTTATATTTAGCCTCTGAGAAAAGTTACTGTTTATTGTTTGGGGTTTTTTTGTTTTTTTTTTTTTTAGGGCTGCTTGTCCTGTCAGATTAAAGAATGTTGTCTAATTCGTATTGACTTCACAGGAGAGAGAGACAAGTTTTCTCATAGATGCCAATTCTATCTTGACTGTTATTTTCTGTGAATTTTAGAGGCATTTAAATGGAACAAAAGTTTATTAAGCTCAATGATCAGTAAGGGATAGATATTCATACCTATGCTTTACCTGCATTGCTTTTACAAGCTGGGTAAAGACAATGTTCCAGAGTCTCAAATGAGTTTGATTGTTTGCACTGTTTTCCTTAGGTGAAATGGAAACTGAAAGTCAGCCAAAGAGACTTTTCCAAGGAACAACCAACATGCTTTCTCCAGATGTTACACATCTGACAGATCTCAGTTCATGGTAAAATATTTCACGTGCCCTGAAATGCCAAAACGGGGAATGTTCATTTATCATAAACTCTCCTTTTTTTTTTTTTTTCCTCCAGGAAAAGAGTGCTTTGTGTGTAGCTCGTGCATGCATATTACTGGGAACTGTTCCTGTGGGAGTGTAGTGTGACAATGGTCCTGCTCTTTGTATTAATTTTTTGAGCAGACTTTAGCCTAGATTTAGTACATCAAAACTTTTATACTGAATATAATTGTTACAAATCCCTGTTGATTCATCAGCAAAATTACTTTGCTTCATCGTGTCAGTATGTTGTAGGTACTGGTCATACAATGTCTGTGGTACTTTCCTGAATACTTAGAAAATGTGTGTGAGTACTTAATAGTTTTTGTCCCTACATTCATGATTCTGAGTTACTGTCATCTTTCTTCACTATGATCATAAAAAGCTAAGTTCTTTTTTTTGTGTGGAGTCAGATGCTAAGTATTCAAAACTGTGAACTGTTTTACTGTAATTTCAGTTTACCTACAGACTTGAAACTGCCTAGATTTTTTTTCACGTTGCTTCCCTCTAAATTGCAAAAGCATCAATTTATGTGCCTTCTGGGATCTTGTATCAGGACTTCAAAATCCAAACACAGGAATTCCTTACTTACTAAGGAAAAATAGGTCTCAATCTTGCTTTGAGTAGTGCAATGTTAAAGAGCATACTGGTTAATTAATGGCATCTTTGCTGCAGTGCTGATTAATTTATTATTATTCCTTTCCTATAAGCTTTTAAGGTTTTAAGCTCATTAGTTTTCACTTCTTTTCTATGTCTGATTAAAAACAGCTTTGTAATTTATTTTGCATGTTAAAAAAAAAAATAATTCTGCTCCTCATTCCCATGAGGAGCAGGAATGTATATAACATGCTACAGAAAACAAGGAGTTTTCAGGGCTGCCAGTCTTGCAGTAAAGACTGAGTGGTAGTATAGGTCTCCTACATGTTCTCTCCAAGGGGAAAGCACGTTAACTTTGTGCAGTCTCATCATACCCATGTACTAAATAACCTTTTTCTCTTTCCCCAGCCTGTCTTCAGATATTCTTGACGGGAGTAGCAGCAGTGTTGGCTCTTCCTCTGATTCCCTGACTAAAGGCAGCATAACCACCGAGTCTCCAGTCACATGCTCCAACTCCTGCTCTTCCTTCATACTGATGGATGACTTCTCACCCAAGTGACTTACCAAGTCCTGAGTCAGTGTCTGGCTGTGCTGTCCCCTCACTGTACACTTGTACAGAGAAACGAACTGATCCTTGAACCATTAATATGAGGTTTATTAAAAGGAAAAAAATTGTTGTTACTGTAATCCTTGGCTACTTTCCAGTGATTTTTTTTTTATTTATCCATTTAATGGACATTGTAGACCATATTAATGTCTGGTTTTGCGAATTTATTTTTTAAACAAGATGTCTGCTGATATTATACTAACTTTTGCTTTCAGGAACTTGCATACACTTTTTGATTCCAGGAGTAGGTATCTACCTATTAGTGTTGCAATTTTTAGGAAAGTACTTCTATCATTATCATGGTCACTATGTCTAGGGAAATAACTTGGTTTGGAAGGATTTGAAAATACTAATTTATTCTCTGGCACTTCTACTATTGAGAAAAATTATTCTTGCCTTTTTTTTTTTCAGTCACTAGCCTGAAATTCCTTTATGGAAGGGAGAAAAAATATTTTATTTTCTTAGTGCTGCTAGTCATTTTTATTACAGAAGACCACATTGGGTGTGGAAATGTCACTCTATTACATTAAAATAAAAACCCCACAACAAAATAACTAATGATTGTCACTTTTGCCATTGGTGAAAAAATAATACTACTCTACAAACATGATTAAATTAGCTGCATAGTTCTCTCCCCTGATCATTTTTCCTACAGATTGTATGAAATAAGTTCAATATTCAGTAAGATTTGGCCAAGGAAAATTAATCCACGCCTCGACTGAAGATATACAGTGCAGATAACTAAGTTAATTAAACTACTGTGTAGGAGAACCATGTATGGCACCATCGATGTCTCCTGTGGCATTGAGGTCATAAGTATTTTTGTGCCTTAGGGGACATTGTTACAAAATTATGGAATGTAAACCAAGAGGGGTGGGTGGGGAAAGTCCTTTGTGTACAGCTTGTTTATAGAGTGCTTACCCTTATCCTGCCGTGGATGCTGCTTTCCTTAGTGTTCCTCCCCGAGGCGTGTGAGGTGCTGTGGGCAGGCCAGCTCTGCTGAGGGAGCAGCCCAGGGGACACCCCTTGCAGCTGCTCTGAACAGAGTTTGTCCCTTTGTTGGTCACGAGCAGGGCAAACAGCTCAGCCAACACTCAATCCCTAAGGAAAGACTTTGGATTGGATACGAACTCTGCAAATTGCTTGGTGAAGGAGCTCTATTTGAGCTACGAGTAGTCTTGATACAGTACCTTGGTCAGTCTGAGGTAGGAATAGATATTTTACTTTTTAAAGACTATAACGGGGCAAAATAAATCCGTTTGTAATCTACTGTGTTATGCTATTTATTATTTATAACTCTGTAAAAAGTCTGTGGTGATGAATTATAGTATTTTTTTATGATTGAATAAGTTTTTTATGTTCAGTAATTGCTGGCTGGTTTGTATTTAATACGCAACATTGTCTGCCAGAATCATAAGCTTCCATTTTTGAATGTTTGTAACATAAATGCTTTTGTTACCTAAAAGTACAACTTGTGATCTTTCTGAAAGAAAATAGCACTGAATTTAAAGTAAGATTATGTGCTTTAGAAGTGAGCACAACCTCTGGCAATACTGTCTGCCTAGAAGGGGAGGGGAGAACCATAGTTTTTTCCGAAGAAGCTGTTGGGTATCCAGAAGACATGTACATACCAGATTATTTTTAAAAGTGTTTCCTTTAAATTGTAAGAAGTACTAGAATGGGCCAACAGTGGCACTATTATTTGTATTACCATTTTCACCTGTGGAGCATTAGTTCCCCACTTCAAATAAATGTGCATATTGTAAAATATTGTCCATTGGTGCCATTTTTAAATGAGCTCTACAAGTATTGAATGTTAATTTTATTTGTATATGCACAGTGCTATTTCTTGAATTTTTGATGTCTTAAATAGCTTAATTATTTTTTTATTCATGCCTGTGTCTTCTCTGCCTTCTTGATGCTGAAAGAAGGTTCCTTTTCCATTGCAAAATATTGATAAACAGTCTGTGATAAAATCCAAGCTGTTACCTGTGCCCCAGTTTCCTTATACCTTGCTTTTACTGCTACCGTGATTTAGAAATCTAAACAAGGGGTGGCAGGAGGGGGAAATCTATTGCATGCTTTCTTAAACCTGAGAAGAGCATAGCTATTGCTTATTTTTGGCTGATTTACCTGTACAATTGATGTATTCCAGATTTGTTTGTTAGTGGAGAGTCTTATCCGAGTGCTGCCCTCTGTAAACATTCAAATGTACGCTGCATAAAGCAAACGCACAAACAGTCACTCTTGTTACAGCAGTTTTTTGTAGTGTTCTGGCTGTTCTGCACTCTTGGAATGTCTTACAAAAGACATTGCTCTTTTATAAAATATATACTTAATGCACACACTCGCTGTGTCTGTGGTTTCAGGATGAATGTTGCAGTGTAATACAGGCCCCAGGCAGGCCCAGGTTCTCTTTCACACTTGCAGCTGTAACAACACTTGTTCATTTTGAAACTTAAGTTTCCTAATATGCTGGTTATTGATACTTGCACTCAACTGCACGAGAGTTGCTGCTGCTCAAGGATCGATCGATATTGCAGTGTAAAGGCTGCACAGCATCCTCTGACTAAAACTGACTGAAAGTTGCATTTCTGGATTTTTTGACTGCCTTGTCTGATACCAGTTTATGAAGAAGGCCAGCTGGTGCTGGTAGTCAGCTTTTATGTATAACTATTGACACTTAACTGGTTTTTATGTCTTCACCAGACTTATTTCTTCTGAATTGCCATGATGAGTGTCTGAGAATTCCTGTCTGTCCTCCACTTCCCTTTTTTATTATGAGGAACCATTGGTGCATATCTATTGCTGAGAATCACCAGTGATGAGTTACCTTTAATGTTGTAATTGTTGAGAACAGAGTTAAAATGCCAGCATAACTAGAGCAGCATTTTAGATGGGCTATTTTTAATATGTTAATTAGCACAGTATTACAACCTTGGTCTGTGTATGGCTCATTGATTAGCACTGCCTTTAGCTCACACCCAGAGCACGCTGAATCCTCATTTTGTGGGCTTAAAATGCTGGAAGGATTTTACCAATGCTTTAGAAAAATGTGTGTGTCAGCTGTGGAACTCTGTATGTTTTGATAATATCAAGTGTTCTGCATCAGGAAATGGATCACAGTGTGCATGTTTCATTCTCCTTCATTGAATTTCAAATTGGGGATCATGGGCCCAAAGGCCTGCATTTAAGGGGCTGTTTTTCTGACTGTATGTGATTAAATACTTTCTCCTACAATGAAAGTAATTAAACTGTCAGTGGGTGAGGATGTAAATCTGAGTCCTGCAGACTTTATTGGAAAACTCATTCTTGAAAGGCACAAGGAACTCTATACTGTATAAAAACACTGAAGTGGGATTTCTTTTTTTTTAAGTCACGATAAAAATAGAGAGCTCATTTTAACAACTCAAAATGCTAAAAATATTTTAAGTGTAAGGCTTCAGCTGGGCACATTTCTCCAGGCAAATTCATGGTGGGGGCTGTCTGCAGAGGTGAACTTGAGCAGGCTTAGGGAGATTTGGACCTCAGGTTCTGATGCACAAACACAATAGACTGACCTTGGGAAATTATTTTTTGCAAATATTCATGTTCTTATCTGTAGACCCTGCTAATACATTGTGTGACAACAAAGATGAGAACTTGTTTTTCCTGGAGGAATTTCATCTGCATATAATTTTCCTGGTAACTTCATAATAAAAAAACCTTTGCATTAACATGGGTTCAAATATTCCATGAAGTCAGAGGCCTGTTGCATTTGTTTTTTTGGAATAAAGGCCTGGGAATCTTTTTGGAGCTATAAAAACTGCCCCTCGTATTCCAAGGCTGTTACATGAATGGCAACTGTCCATAGTAGATGGAAAGGGACTTTGCCTACCATTCAGTATTTCAGTCTCTCTTTAGATCTGTTAAGTAATCCTTAGCAAATTTGCTGTAAAATGGATTGCTGAGAAGAGTGCAGTAACTGGCTCCTTTGACTATAAAGATTTTAGCCCTGATTTAAGCTTATCCAGCTAATTTTTAAATGAAAAATGTGTTTTTCACATGACTGAGACTTTTCACCAGGGTCTGCATTGTTCAGACTTAGAGGAAAAGGCTCCTTGTGGGCAAGTCTTTGCTTAATCCACCCCCAAAAGAATGAGTGAGCTAAGCTTGCCCATCAGAATTAGAGTAGCAGTTGTTTCAGCTGGTTTTGGGGAAGGCAGGGAGTCAGTGGCTGGGTTCCTTAAGGGATGGTTATCTAATTCACAACAAAGACCTTTGTCCTCAGGCTAAAATAAAAAGTAGATGTCATTTTAGGGCAAGTCTGTTTTCTGAGGGAGCAATTATGCTGCAGAGCTGGCTTAAGTGTGCTAGCTGGGGTTTGCTTCCTGCTGTGCGTGAAGAGCCTTCATGTAAGCAGAATGTAGGGACCCCATAAACGCAAACACGCACCACTGCCACTGTAAATGTCCCCAAATGGCACTCTGTGGAGGTACCTTGTTTCAGTCCAAACCATTTTGCATTCAAACTGCTTTTTATTACTTGCTTTTAGATGTTAAAACCCTTTGGTTTGAGGCTTGCCCCTGAGTAGCATGCCAGGGCCAAAATTTTCTTTTTAAATCTGCAATTTGGTTTGTTGTTGTTGCATAATAAAGTTTGGAAATGGGAAGTAGGTAGGTTCTTGCTATTAACAAAGAATGCATGTTAGCTTGGGTGATCACAAAAGAGCGAGGGGTTTCAAAGAAATAAGACCTGAAAACACAGAACAAAGATACCTGTTTTAATGAACGAATTTGGCTGGTCTGACTCTTTTTTTTAAATGCAGGCAATAGTCTTTTGAACGTATCAGTAGTTAAGAACTACAAAATCCAATACACTTCCACCTCCAAACACCTCTCCTTATATAAAGTAAGAATTTGTTACTGAAAGCCCACAAGTTTTGTTCATCTAGTTTTGTTCATCTCTAACAAACTGGGCCAGGCCTCTCTCAGTCTCTGAATAAGTTTGCAGTAACAGTTGCCTGTGATGCAACAGACCCGTTAGTGACACCAGGCTGTCAAGCAGTTCCTGTCTGCCCAAAAAGCATCATCTTACACTGTACAGTATTTCTAATACCTTTAGTCTCCCCTAACTTATTTCTGAGGGCAATGAGATTTTTTACCTTTTTTACGAACACAATTATTATTTGCTGTTAATTACCATAGTTTGATTGTCTTACTAAACAGCTGCAGTAAAATTCCTGATGCAACTTTTGCATGTCTCTCATTTTGGGGTATAACAGAGTTTGAGTTTTTTGATTATTTTTCAGATAGTGCAGTGTGTGTTTTCTGGAAGAATTCTCCATTGTGTTTTGATTCTGAAAGCCATTTGGATACAGTTTATGCAGAAGTAAGTCCAATTTAACAACACTAGTCAAATGAATCTTGGAGACAATGACATGAGGTTGTTTTTTTCAGAAGCTGACTGGCTTAACCCTTGCATTACCTAAAGAAAACTGCATTCTGCCACAGCCTCCACCACTTCTGAACTTTCGCCAAAGCTGAGTACGTTGGCAGAAGCTCCCGGCTATTTGTGTTGGGACACTTTATAATGCAGATTATGAAAACCCTATTGTGCTGGAACAAAAATATTTTCCTTGCCCCAAATAATTTGCAATTTAAATTTGTCATGGGAACTGTAATGGTTTATCAGTGCAATGCACGGTCAACAATTTTTTCAGTGTGCAAAAGTTACGGTCCCTACTAGGCAGGTAAGAAACAGGTAGTATCAAAAACTATGGGCCCAAGTAGAATAAAGAATGTAATGGAAGTTAACTAGTCCAGAATATAAATATAAATGTTGAATCTGGCCTCTGACAAAGTTCTACAAGCCCCTAAAATTTTGGAAAATTCAGCTACTGCCATGAACTTAACAGCTCACTCTCAACCCTAGCTGTCAACACTTCCCTACTTATGACCAGAACCTCCAAAAATTTGGAAGAAAAATAAATCTGAAAGGGGGAACTAGAATAAGAATGCCTCTGTGCCTATGATGTATGAGCACTGGTTTGAAAAATGATACAGAGAGCAAAGTACAGTGAGTTGGGACAAATGTGCTTTAAATAAGAGTTGAGGATGTGCTACAGAAAGTACGTGTCACATCTTGTTCGTGTGCAAGAACAGACTGTGAAAGAAACAGCTTTGTGTGGGAGAAGCGACATCAAAGGGCCTGAAAAAACTAGTGCTGTAATAGGAAACATTTGCCTTTTGAGGACTCGTTGCTGCTGGTCACTTCTTTTCTTTATTTTCTTCTCCTGTATTAAAACCCAGTGTGAGGAAGGAGAGGCAGCATGGGCAGGGTGGGCCAGATGGGCAACAAGGAGGGGTACAGAGGGCTCACTGAATTTGTGTGGGCTTTCACAGCCTCCCTCCTGCCCCCTTCACATGGAGTTTGCATCAGCCCTGAAGTCTGTAATTGTGTTTGTTGGACAACCAAAGCAAGGCTGGAAGCTCAGCTTCTTGTCTTCATCAGCAAAGTTAGTGCACTGGATCGTCAGCTCTTGTCAAACGTGTCCTAGACATGTGGGTGAAACTCTTCATGGGGCAGAGCGGGAATGAGAGAGGAATTAAGAGTATAGGAGTGGGGCAAAGATGCCCCAAAAGCTCTGGGCATTGTGAGAGACCACGAGGGAGCTGGTGGGACAAGGGGCTGTAGATAAAGCACGATAACTGAGCAGGAGGAGGAACATCTCCCAGCAGGAAGGAGATGGTATGGCAGGAGGCTGGTGGACACACTTGGTGTGGAGAAAGTGATGGTTTTTCTGCAAAGTGCCCTGGTTACTCTTGTTGCCAGCAAAAGGCTCACACTGAGGAAGAAGGGTTGTGGTACAGCTGAATGAAGGCAGCAAGCCATGCCACAGCCACATCCTACAACCTGCATCTGTCAGGGTGGTTGTTTTTGAGAAGTAGCTGAAGCTTTCTGGCCTTACTTTGCCTTAGCAACAACAAACATCGTGCATATAGGATTTACATGGAGCATCAGTGCCAGCATGCACAGCACAGCCCTGACTGTGCCGGGAACTTTGGACCAGCTGTGGGAAGTTCCTGGGGATCTGGATGGCCACGGGATGGCGTATCGCGGCTTGCAAAGCACAGGACGGGGTTTAGTGAGCAGTGGTAACACTGCCTGAAGTGCATCTGAACTGAACTCACCCTGCAGCTTCTGTTACCAGAAACTTCTAATGTTTTCTTTCTTTTCACTCACAACATAACCTCTTCCTTTCAGAGTCAACACTAACTTCCCAGAGTGAGGGTTTGGATTTCTTTGTGCTATTAAACATAAAACTGATTTTGAAAAAGGCAGATGCTCTTTGGTTCTAAGGA